GACTGGCGCCGCCGGCGCTCCCCCTCGCCATCCCGTCGTAGGGACCGGTCCCCCTCCCCCGCCCGGCCGGTTCGTGCCGGCTCTCCCCGTCCGCCGGACGGTATCCTCCCCACCCCGGACACCCGCCGCTACGTCCCCCCGCACGCTGCTTCCACGGGGACTACGGTCCCAGCTCCGGCCTTTGGTGGTGGCACCTCCCGCGGCCGCCCTGGCCCCGCCAAGAAGAAGAAGCGCCGGGGTGTCCGCCTCACTCCGGCCGTGCCTCCCTCCACGGTTCCGGGGGCCTCCACCGCTCCGGGCCCTGTCTCCGGTCTCCCTCGCCCCCCATGCTTCAACTGTGGGGTGAGGGGACACTCTCAGGTTGCATGTGTCAACCCCCAGTGCTGCTACCTCTGCAAGGACCCTGGCCACCCCGCCATTCTGTGCCCGGCCAGACCGGTGGTCTCTGAGCTCATGATGTATGGTCACGGGATCGAGGGGCTGGGCTTCTTCCACCTTGAGGTCCCGGACGCCCCTCCTCCTTCGCCATCCCTTCAGGCGATTGTCACCGTCGTGGATGGGGTGGCGTCCCCGGAGATGATCGAGGCCGAGCTCAACCACCTCTACCGCCGCCAGTGGGACTGGGTGGTCACCCCCACCGCCGGTCACATCTTCTCTGTCGTCTTCCCCGACTCCGTCAGCTACGGCTACGCCACGCGTAGTGGCCGAATCACTCTCGCGCTCAACCAGCTGGTTGTCGAGATCTCCGAGCCAGTTCTCGACGCTCAGGCCGTGGCTGTCCTCGACACCGCCTGGATCCTCATCTCCGGTCTCCCTGACATCGCGCGGTCAGAGCTCGTCATCCGCCAGATGTCTCGCCTCCTTGGCAAGGTGGTGGTGGTCGACGAGCTCTCACTCCGCAAGGAGGAGGAGGTGCGGGTCAAGGTCAAGTGTCTCGACTCCACCAAGCTGCACACCTCGGTCCGGGTCTTCTTCAACGACCAGGGCTTCGACCTCAGGATCGCTCCCGAGCCGCCCAACCATGTTGGGCGCCCCCGCTCCCTCGACGTCGGCCCCCCTGACGACCACCGGGGGGCCGGCGGAGACTTCCACGGCCGGCATCACTCTCGCTCCCACCGCTCTGACGAGGAGGGGGCGTCCGAGGATTCCCGCTCCCCCTCCCCCTCGCCCCCCCTCCGGCTACGGGGGGCAAGGGCCGCCAGGCTGCTCCCGGCCCCATGGTGGATGACCCGCCGATCCCTGACGGGTCGTCATCCGAGGGGAGCGACATCTCCAGTGTCGGCCTGGTGGTCTGCCCGGCCTCCTCCCCGCACTCCCCCGTCTCCCCCCCGCCTCCGGGGATGGCCCCAGTCGGCCTGACCGGAGGGCTGCTCTCCGCTCCGTCGGCGGTCCCTGAGGGTGGGGCGTCGCCTCCTGTGGATGCCCCCCCTCCGGCTTCGCCTCCCTCCGCCACCGTCCTCTCCACGCCGCCCGACGCGCCCCCGGCCCCGTCGTCCCCTCGGGCTCCTTCTGGGGCATGCTCTTCGGCCTCGGGTGCGCTCTCTCCTCCTCGGGTCACTCCTCTACCCGTGACCCAGAGCCCCCTAGGCTGTGTGGGGCCGGGGCTGTTGGCCTCTCCCTCATCGCACCCTGGGGAGGGGACGGCCCGGATCATCACCCCTCTGGCAGCCCAGCCCCCCCCCCACGGACAGCCGCCTACTCCCGTCGCGGCCGGTCGGCTTCCTCCCCGGTGGTGGCCTCCCGCCGGAGTGCTCGGCTGGACGCTGCCCACCCCGAGGGCCGCCCGGCGCTTCCCATCCCCGAGCGGGCTCAGCTCCGCGCTGCCGCCCGCAACCTGGAGCCAGGTACGCCCTCCGCTCCCCCCTCTACTTCGTCTTGTTCTTTCTCTGCTCTTGTATCTGTTCCTCTGGGCCATCTCGCCAAAGTGGCCTCCGATTCCGCGATCATCTTTCGTGGGGAGGTGGGCCCCCCTCTCGCCCAGGTTGCGGCCATCAGGGCCCGGGAGGTTCTTGACGGGAAACTGGCGGAGGCCCGAGCGGCCCTCGCTGTTCCCCCTGCCCCTGCGCTAACCAGGGGTTCTGCCCCCCCTCCTCGGACGCGGCAGGCGGCTCCCCCTTCCTCGGGGGCCGGGCCGGAGATCCAGGGACGCACCCGCTCCCGCACGGCGGCTCTTCGAGCGCTTAGCGCGTCCTGTGTCCTGGGGTCAAGCAGCCCCCCAATGGTTCCTTGATGCGAGCCCTCTTCTGGAACATCCGCGGCTTCGGCCATGATGGCCGCCGCCGCCAGTTAGTGGAGTACATGCGAGATGAGCACATAGACATCGTGGCCGTGCAGGAGACCATGCGTCACGAATTTGCGCTTCCTGAGCTTGACCGGCTGAGCTCTCACCTCTTTGCGTGGCACTGGCTCCCTTCTAGTGGGAGCGCGGGTCACTTGGGCGGCATCCTCTTAGGTGTGAAGGATGCCACCTTTGAGGTGGGCAGCATGGATCGGGGCGAATTCTTCGTGAGCATGGAGGTCTTCGAGAGATCGCTTAACTTCAAGTGGGAGATCATCATAGTCTATGGCCCGGCCGACCATAGTCGGCCGGCTTCCTTCCTGGAGGAGCTTCACCGGAAAATCTCGGCCGCCTCCCTCCCCGTTGTTGTCGGGGGGGACTTCAATCTGCTGCGATTTGCGGATGACAAGAATAATGGCAATGTTAGTTTTGCCCGGATGGACATGTTTAACGACTTCATTGCCGACCTTGCCCTCCGGGAAATTGATCGGGTTGGGGCCCGTTTTACTTGGACCAACCGCCAAGCCTCCCCGACCCTCTCCGTCTTGGACAGGGTCCTAGTCTCCCCCGAGTGGGACCTCCGATGCCCCTTAGCCTCTCTTCGTGCCATCACCCGGATTGGGTCGGATCACGTCCCCTTGCTTCTCTCCTCCGCGACGAGCGTCCTCAGGTTCCCCCTCGGTTCCGTTTCGAGTCCTTCTGGCTCTCCCAGGCCGGATTCTCCGACGCCGTCAGTGCTCGTTGGATCGAGGCTCGTGCCCACCCCCATCCCCGCCCCCCTTCCGCCATAGACGCGTGGCACTTCTGTGCGAAGCGTGCTCGGCAATTTATGAAGGGGTGGGGAGCCAACTTGGGCCGTGACACCAGGGAGCGTAAGAGGGCGCTGCTGACTGCGATCCAGGCCCTTGACCTCCGGGCTGACGCGGTTGGTCTCTCCCCGGACGAGTGGCTGTCCCGCTATGACCTCGAGGACCAGCTCTCCGTGATCTACACTGATGAGGAGGCCTATTGGCGTATCCGGGGCGCTCAGCGTTGGGTCTTGAAGGGTGACGCGAATACGGCTTACTTCCAGGCGATCGCCAACGGGCGTCGCAGACGCAACACCATCCCCTGCCTTTGGGATGGAGCCTCTCTCCTTCAGGACCCCCGGGACATCCGCTCCCATGTTGATGGGTTCTATCGTTCCCTCTTCTCCCCCGCTCCTCGGAGCGGTCTCTCTCTCGCCCTTGATTGCTGGACCGACGCCCATCTGGTTTCTGAAGCCGATAACACATCCCTGACGGCCCCCTTCTCTGAACAGGAGGTCTGGGAGGCCATCAGGGGTATGAACCCCTCCTCGGCGCCGGGCCCTGACGGTCTTCCGGTCATCTTCTTCCAGACCTTCTGGAACGTGATTAAGCCTGAGATCATGGCCATCTTCGAGGAATTCTTCGTGGGCTCGATTGACCTTGGCCGCCTCAACTTTGGGACCATCTCCCTCATTCCCAAGGTCCCTGGGGCGACGGACATCCGCCAGTTCCGCCCGATTACGGTCATCAACGTGATCTTCCGGATCCTGGCCAAGGGGTACGCCAATAGGGTGACCCTGCTTGCTGACCGGATCACTCACCCTAACCAATCTGCGTTCATTAAGGGCCGGTACATCCTAGATGGTGTCCTGGTCCTGCACGAGGTCCTTCATGAAGTCCGGGTCAAACACCTGAAGGCGGTCTTTCTGAAAATCGATTTTCACAAGGCCTATGACACGGTTAGCTGGTCCTTCCTTAGGGAAGTTCTTCTGCGAAAGGGCTTTGACGACCAGTGGATCACGAGATTCATGCAAATGGTCTCTTGCGGTCGCACGGCGGTCAACATTAACGGCGAGATCGGCCCCTTCTTCCCTACCCTTTGTGGGGTGCGCCAAGGCGACCCCTTCTCCCCGTTCCTCTTCAATATGGTCGTGGACGCTTTGGCCTCCATTCTAGACAAGGCAAAAGCCGCGAGCCACCTCCGTGGTATTACCCCCCATCTCTCCGGGGGCGCGGGGATCTCCATCCTCCAGTATGCCGATGACACGATCATCATGGTTGAAGGCTCGGAGCTGGATATCACCAACCTAAAGTTCCCCCTTCTTTGCTTCCAACAGATGTCGGGCCTCAAGATCAACTTTGATAAGAGCGATGTTATGGTGATGGGATACTCTCCCGCTGAGTCAGTGGCCATCGCCAATAGACTTAATTGCCGCCTGGGCTCGTTCCCCACTACCTACCTTGGGACGCCCATCAGTGACTCGCGCCTCTTGGCCGCCGATCTTCGCCCCTCCGTGACCAAGCTCCAGACTAGATGCGAGCCCTGGCAGGGGAGGTGGCTCTCCAAGGCGGCCCGGACTATTCTTATCAACTCCTCCCTCTCCAGCCTCCTCTTATTTCTTATGAGTTTCTACAGCCTCCACGAATCTCTTCATAAGAAGATCGCCAAAATCCAGTCCCGCTTCTATTGGGCTGGCGAGCACGGCAAGCAGAAGTATCACATGGTCAGCTGGCCTGACATCTGCAAGCCTCGGGAGCAGGGTGGATTGGGGATCATGTGCTCTAAGCGGATGAATATTGCCCTCCTATCCCGGTGGCTGTGGCGCATCTCGCAGGGTCAGGGTGGCCTATGGCTGGACATTATCCGGAATAAATACCTGCGCGGCCAACCCCTTGCCTTCTGCCAGAAGTCGGGAGGTTCTCAGTTCTGGCAGTCCCTCGTCCAGCTCCTCCCTGTGCTTCGCATTGGTACCTCTATCTCGGTAGGGTCCGGCCTCTCGACGCTCTTCTGGTTTGACCGATGGGCCGGCGACTCCCCCTTTGCTGCTCGCTTCCCCATCCTCTTCTCTATCTCTGTCGACCCCATGATTTCTGTTGATAGGGCCCTTATTGACTTAGGGCGCCTCGCTTCCCGTCGTCCATTTGGGCCTGCGGAATCCGCCGCCTGGCGTGAGCTGCTTGATTGCGTCGCTCTGCATGAGCCGCTGGTGGATGGAGCCCAAGACCGTGTGCGTTGGCACTTGGAGTCGTCGGGCCAGTTCTCTACCAAATCGCTCTACATGGCCATTGCCCCCTCCTCCGCTCCCCCCCCTCTTGATGGTATGTTCCGTCCGTCTCCCACTGAAGATCCGCATCTTCATGTGGCAGTGGATCCGTGGACGGATCCCATCCGGTGTGGAGGTCCGCAAGCGTAATGGCCCAGGCACTGGTATCTGCCCCCTCTGTGCTGTCCCCGAGGACTCCAACCACAT